CCCTGCCACCACTTGCCCGCCAGCGGGATGACCATCAATCCAAAGGTCAGCCGCGGTGGAGGCCCAGCCGTGATTCCGGCCAGCCCGTAGAAGGTGCTCTCGGGGAAGAAGCGCCGGGAGTCTTCCAGCAAGCCTTTGCCGCCCCGGCCCCCTCCCCGACTTTTGTGGAACCACCCACGTGGGGCGGCGGGGCAGTGGAAGCCAAACCGACCTTTACGTGCAGTTCTGTGAGTGATCGAGAGTTAGTGCTCTTTCCCTCCGTGTCGTCTTTAACGCTGAAAACCAGACGGAACTGTGAGTTCCCCCCCCGAGACCAGACATGCCTTTCTCATGGCAGAAATCTGCCTTTTTTTGAGTCGGAGTCTCACTCTGTCGCCCACCGCAGCCTCGACCCGCCGGGCCGGCGATCCTCCCGCCTCCGCCTCCCGAGGGGCCGGAACTACAGGCGCGCGACCACGCCCGGCTGACCTTTGGATTGACGGTCGGGATGAGGTCCCGCGGCCCAGGCGGGTCTCGAGCCCGCGGGCTCAGGCCACCCTCACCTCAGGCTCCCAAAGGCGCGCGATGGCAGGCTGAGCCGCCGAGCCCGGCAGAAATCTGCTACTTTTTAAGAAGGGTGACAAGAAGCAAAACGCAAGAGGGACCCTTTCATCTGGCTTTTTATCCAGTGCATTTTTTGAGCACCTGCCGTGTACCAGACACCTTACCGGACACTGGAATTTAGCTTGATTTCCTGCCGATGATGGGTCATGAGTGCCCTGTAGTGCCGGCTGCCGAGCTGCTATTTTAAGACAAAAACCTCTCTGCGCACTGAAGTGTAGTGATTTTCTCAGGCTCTAGCCGTGAATTCTGGGAGAACAGAAGCTGGACAGACCACAATGCCTACTGATCCTGCTCTGTTGTGCGAGACGTCTTCCCTTTTAGCTAAAATGCCAAAAAAGATGGTAGGCTTTAGGATTTTGCTTGTAACTTTATCTAACAAAGGCAAGAGCCAACTTAGTGGAGAGGACACCATTTCGCTTTTTTTTTTTGAGCTAGAGCTCACTGTTGCTCAGGTTGGAGTGCAGTGGCGCAATCATGGTTCATCGCAGCCTCAACCTCCTGGGCTCAGGCTATTCTTCTGCCTCCCCAGTAGCTGGGACTGCAGGTGGGTGCCACTGCGTCCTGCTTCTTTTCACTTTGCTTTTTTTGAGTCGGGCTCTCTATCATCGAGCTGGAGTACGGTGGCCTGATCGTGGCCACCTCAACCTTCAGAGTAGCTGGGACTACAGGAGCGGTGCCCCCATACCCAGCTGATTTTTTTGATTTATTGTAGACATGAGGTCTCTCCATGTTGCCCAGGCTGGTCTCGAACTCCTGAGCTCAGGCAGCCCTCTTACCTAACCTCCCAAAGTGCTGGGATTGCAGACGTGTGCCACCGCAGCCTGCTTCATTTCATGTTTTTTTTAAGGAGAGAAAGCTGTTTATATTCTTGGTATAGCAAAACTTGATTTTCATGTTAACTTGAGAGATTTATGATCAAGACTTAAGTTTCCTGGCAGATACTCACTCTCCTGAGACCATATTTCGGTTTGTCAGTCTTGAACTTTGCTGACCTTCGTTTTGGTTTTCAACCTTTGCCAGAGAGGTAGGGACCACGGTTGCTCAGGTGCTGCCACTTCAGACCCTCCCTTCCCTGCAGTTGTCAGTACTCCTTTCTGAGGCGTGCCCTCTCAGTGTATAATGGCAAACACGGCTCCTCTGAGGTTTTGCCAGCTGGTTTTCCTGAAGCAGGTCAGATCCTTCTCTTTTTGAACCTCCTTGGTACTGTGTTTGTGTTTATTAGTCAGTAGTCTTTCGGACTTGTATGTATTTCGTGGGAAGACTTGTCTTATCCCTATGCTAAATTGCAAAGTCTTAATGTTAAGGGGTTAAACCCTTTTTTCTCTTCTGTCCTTGCATTGCCTTTCCTTAGACAGTTCTCAATTGAAGAAATATATGCAGAGAAGGGGCCGGAAAACACACGAAAAGAAAACCCCATTTACAAGGGTCCTCTCCGATGAATGAAGGAGAGGGCTTTGACTTCACGGACACGCACAAGCACGTCCCTTCTGATGAGCCCCAGACGATGAACTCTGAGCGGGGAATCAGTTCATCGCTCAGAGCCTTCCCGCCCCTCTTGTCTCTCCTCTTGTGACCCCCATGTTTCACATGCACATCCACGCGCCTTTCCCCACTCTGCCTCTGCCGCTCGCCCGCAGGGCTCCCTCCTTTCCTTTCCGGGTGTGCCCTTACCGCCGCCTCGCCTTCTCCTCAGCTCTCTACCCAGGCTCCCACTCCCTACTGGCCACATAGAGCAAACTGTGGCCCACCATTATTTTAAGTTCGTTTCCGTTTTTTTAGTTTACCCAATTTTAAGTTGTAAACACTTTATGTTCTGTAGTAAAAGGAAAACCGTAACAGTTAAGATAATATATCAGACACCTGTTAAGGGACTAGGGCAGTTAGACTGATCAAAGATTAGATCTACATAGCGCCCAGAATCTGAGTTCTCCTGTTCTCTTATTCATCGTGTACGCTGGCTCTTCAGGATGAGGAGTGTGGGCTTTATGGACTTATGTATCATGAAATACCTCTCTTTGAGTAACATTTTTGGTATGAGTGAACAAAAACTATACCTAACAAGTTCATATTCCCTCAAAAATATGTGGAACTACTAACAACCTACATTAGTATCAGATACAAACTAGGTTTATAATTGAGTCTGAGAAAGTGGCAATATGGCTTAACTTAGCCATTTGCTTTTTATCATATTGAGAAGTGATTTTGTTGAAACTACATCTTCTAAAATAATGCTTTATTTCTTAGGGGCTGCATCCTGGACCCATGCATGACTCTATACCTGGCATGTCACTACATCACTGGCCATTTATGCATATTGGTTGTGTTTTAACAATCACTACCCCAGATTTTTTTTTTTTTTTGAGTTGGAGTTTCACTCTGTCACCCAGACTGGAGCGCCGTGGCTACTCCCGGCCACCTCAGCCTCGACCTGCTGTGCTCCGGCATTCCTTCTGCCTCAGCCTTCCAAGTAGCTGGAACTACAGGCGTGTGCTACCACGCCTGGCTAATTTTTTTTGGTTTATTGTAGAGATGAGGTCTCGCCAAGTTTCCCAGGCGGGTCTCGAACCCACGGGCTCAGGCAATCCACTCACCTCAGCCTCCCAAGGCATGGGATTACAGGCTGATTTTTTTATTGTAACAGTCCTACCTGTCACTAAACCCCTGTAATCACTGAAAATAATGCTTCTTTCTTGTTTTCTACTTTGAGAAGTAGAAGCAATAAGCACTTTTCTGTTAAAAGACTTTTGCCATGCTGCAATTAGAAGATGGCTGACAAGACTGTCATTTTATTTTGCATTATATAAAGGGTATTTGGTTGTGGTCTTTGAGTAATAGCTGCTAAATTATTGGATGAAGCATACCAGTGGTAGAAACTTTGGGTTCTAGTTTGAATACGTTGAAATTCCCCAACTTTCTAGGAGGCTTGCTGTGTTTAGGATGCTGCGTCACATCTAAACACAGTTTACATACCTGTGAGGATCCTGTATTTAGGACTTAAATTTTACCTTTGACAGTCTTAGATCTGACTAGCTTTTGATAACTGAGATCTCAGAACACAAATTTGGAAGACCAATAAAAGGCTTGAATTAGACATAGATCTTGACTTTAAAGCCCAGCAAAACTGTGTTCAGATCCTGGATCTGCTACTTAACTTGCTATGCAGTCCTGGACAAATTCTCTCCCTTCTTTAAGGCTCAATTTTCTCATCTAAAAAATAGGAATGGTAGTGACATTTATTGTCAGGTCTGTACACAAGGCATTACTCAGTCCCTGGTGGACTCTAAGTGTTGCTAATGATTATTTTTTATTTATTTTCAGATTTCTTTTTCTTGGCAGGAGGAAGGGTTTTAAGCAGAGATTTTTTTCATTTGATGTTAGATAACGTAAAGAGTTTCTTAAAATGGCTTTACAAGTAAAGCTTTAAGTGTGAATTAAAGGAAATTAGATTTGTGATAGCCTGCAAAAGGTGAGGATGTCTGAACACTTTGATTTCATAAAGTCTGCCCAGAAGTCTGAAGCAAACCACAGGAATGTAAAGTGGTAGGGAAGTCAGCTGTGATTTTTTTTTTTTTTTTTTGAATCTTTGCACTGAAAAGCATATACTATGCTTTTAAGCGATACTAATGTTGTAGCTGCATTCATGAGGAAGCTAACCTTATTCACAGAATTTCTGTTGTTTAGGAGTTGTTTCTTTTTAGTGTAGTGGTAACTTCACATTCTGCTTTTGCTTTTTTTCACCTGACAGAGTTTTATTCACACAAAGAATTATTGTGTGATAAACTTCGGTAATTCTGTATTTCATTGGTTGTTTATTCACCATTCCCCTCTTTGGTGGCATGAAATAGACAGCTTCTAGAGCCCCAGGGCATTCACCGTGCAGAGTAAACACTGTGCTGTGTACTCATCCAAAAGGTCTAATTTTTAAGGTTTTTTTCAGTTATTAAAAGTTTTATTCTTGTGTCCGAGCAGATGTATGACTGTCATATGCCAGCTTTATCAGTATTATTTAATGGGAGGACTGGTTTGGAGGCAAGTAGATCAGGAGGATGGGGAACTTAATGAGTCTTCCCACTATGAGTATCTGAGGGAAAGTGCTTATGAATTTTTTTGACTGACTGTATAGAAGCTAGTTCTCATCATACTCATATCCCAAAATGAGGCAAATTAAGCTGTATTTCCTAACTTTCCTGGAATTGCTTAATTAAGCAATTCCAGGAAAGTGTTCTCTCTGCCTTCTTCAGAGTGCTAAGTGAAACAAGTAAATTGTTATGTTTAAGTAAATGTAACAATTATTTGAGAATTCTGTGGTATTGATCACAGATTTTTTTGGGGCATAATACCATCATAAGACTAGGGCCTGTAATCACAAGAATGAAGAAGTGTTGGTACAGTAGTGTACTTGTTTGCTTTTTCTACTTTAAAATTAGAGTCATTCTTCTCCCTTCCCCACTCACAAATCAAGTGGGATTAGGAGGTTAAAGAAGAAAAATAAGTTGGGAAGATAGGTGTTCAATTTAAGCAGTAAACTTCTAAAATAAGATTTATTTCTTAATCTGCGTAAAAATTTAAAGCAGACTAGAACATGTTACAATCCTTGACTTAGTTTCCCATATTTCAAAATTCTGTCTCTTTTCTTTATTCTTTTAGCATAAAGATGCCTATCAAGTGATATTGGATGGTGTGAAAGGTGGTACTAAGGAGAAACGTCTAGCAGCTCAGTTTATTCCGAAATTCTTTAAGCATTTTCCAGAATTGGCTGATTCTGCTATCAATGCACAGTTAGACCTCTGTGAGGATGAAGATGTGTCAGTAAGTTTATGAATAACACTTTCAGTAATCTTTCAGATGTTTTCTGTGTGTGGCTAATGTAATTGAAGTAATAATTACATTAGTACACAATAAAATTCTGTAATATGGCCTGACATGGCACTGCACCCAGGCTTAAATCTACATTCAAAAAAATTTATTAGCTCTTTTCACTACTTTTCAATTGTGAAAAATGCAGAAAATCTCAGAAAACATTGTTTTATCTATTATCCACTGTTACAAATGGGTCATGACTCATCTTTTTCAGATTGTTTATTCATTGTCCATGTGAAATTAGGCTGTTACTTTTCAGTTTGTGCTTACTTGGATATTTAAAGTAGTAACAGTGTTACATCGTAAAATATAGTTTCAGCACCTTTATTTTGCATGGCAGAAAAATAATTGGTCCCTGTAATAATTGTATAGGATTATTAGATTAAGAAGAAATAGTTTCTCCTGGAGACAAAGTTAGCCTCTAGCTGCTAATACAGATTCCTAAGATTTCTCAACTGTTAGCTCCTGCCTTTTTAAATGAACTCAGTTTTGTGCAGAATTTCCTGGACATAAACCCTGTGCTTTTGTTTTTTTGAGTTGGGGGTCTCACTTTGTTACCTGTGCCAGAGTGTAGTGGCATGCTGCTCACAGCCACAGCAACCTCGACCTGCTGGACTCAGGTGATCCTTCTACCTCATCCTTCCAAGTAGCTGGAACTTCAGGCATGCGCCACCACACCTAGCTAATTTTTTTTTTTTTTTAATTTATTGTAGAGACAAGGTCTTGCCATGTTGCCAGACTGGTCTCAAGCCCATAGGCTCAGGCAGTCCTCTCACCTCTGCCTCCTAAAGTGCTGGAATTACAGGCGTGAGCCACCATACCCGGCCGCACTTTGTTTTTTTATATGTAAAACCTAGTAAGCCAAGATTACTATTTGGAATTAAGCACACAGAAGATGGTCACAAATGTTGTATTACGTAGTCGATACTGAAAATTCTAAAGTAAACAGTTACTAGGTATGACATTGCCATAGTATCCATTTTCAAGGAATACTGTATTATATGCCCAAAGGTAGTAAAAACTTATCAGTTGTAATAAACAGTTGTTCATAATCTCAAATCCACGTACTCCGGTCAGATATTGTATTTAAATAACATTCATTTTCACCACATTTTTTTTCTGTGAATATTACATTGGAACAAATTATTTTTTAAGCTGCTGGAATTCTCATGTTTTATATTTTTGTGATGCATATTCCTCAATTATGGTTTCTCTGTGATTTTAGTTTTCTTTAAAAGCTGAGTTTGTTGTTTTAAGGATAACAGTACTTGGTTAATTTTTGTTTGAAATTATGCCCAGATTCGACGTCAAGCAATTAAAGAGCTGCCTCAGTTTGCCACTGGAGAAAATCTTCCCCGAGTGGCAGATATACTAACTCAACTTTTGCAGACAGGTAAGTAATTTTATTATTACCTTTTTATCTAAATATAACTTTTCTTTGAAATAGTGCCTCTGTTTTTAGTTTCTTGAGAAGGAGAGCTAAAGATCCTACCTCTAATAGATATTAAGATTTTTTTTTCCATTTAGTATTTCGAAGCTTAATGATTTCTGATTATATAATTCCTAGCTAGTATTATTTTATTTTAAATTATGTTTATAGAGATGTAATGATAGATGATTTGGGGAATTTTGATGCATCATTATTATTCCCCCAGTTTCCTGCAGTTTCATAATTTTGCCATCTTAATATAAAAATTTTTCAGACATGCCAGATCAGGTTTTCTACCCTTATGAGGAAGCTGTTTCTTCTTGGTACTTGAAGGAATGGCTTAGTTCTAAGTTTCCTGTCTTTGTAATTTGTGGAAAACTGTTGAATCTTAAGTCTGAATTGAAGCAAATGATGTTTCAAATTTATTTCATATTAATTGTGCCACTTTCTCTCTATCCAGATGACTCTGCAGAATTTAACCTAGTGAACAATGCCCTGTTAAGTATATTTAAAATGGATGCAAAAGGTAAGGCCAGTTCTTACTCTGAATTGTGTTTGATGTCTTAAAAATCAAGGAGTTACGTGTTATTCATTAAGGATAAAGTCTGGGGTTCACCCAGAGATCTATTTCATTAAAATTCTAGGAATTCTGAAAAAGGTCTTTTTTGCTCGAAATGTTTGTGACTGGAGAGACCAGCAGCAGTAATTGTAAAAACAGATCCAATTTTTCCATTAGGAATTTTTGAAAAAGCTCTCTTTGCCACTTTAAAGAAATTCTTCCAAAATACCTGGGTTTTATTATTAATAATGATAAAACAAGAAAAGTTATGCTCAGGCCAACTCTATCCATGAACAAAACATGTGATCACTCACTCTTATGGTTGGGGCTGTAGACATTGCAGATTGACTTTAACCAGTCTTGGTGGTATTCGGGGTGCTTATTAACTTGTTTGAGAAGAAATACTAGAAATTGAGTTAAATTGAAGAACTTCATTACACTATAAAATTGAATTGCTACAGCTCTTTTGTTTTACAGGGACTTTAGGGGGGTTGTTCAGCCAAATACTTCAAGGAGAAGACATTGTTAGAGAACGAGCAATTAAATTTCTTTCTACAAAACTTAAGACTTTACCAGATGAAGTCTTAACAAAGGAAGTCGAGGAGCTTATACTGACTGAATCCAAAAAGGTAAGCTTCAGTCACCATTTGATAGAAATTCTCTGAAGCAAAAAACGATATTTGAAATTGGAAGAATGCGTGCTGTGTGTGGCTTGCGTGTAAAATGGTATATCCCATTAGAACCACCATGGAACTTCCAGGTTTTTCTTTTTTTTTTTGAGTTGGAGTCTCACTCTGTCGCGCAGACTGGAGTGCAGTGGCTGCTCCCAGCCACCACAGCCCCGACCTGCTGGGCTCCGGCGATCCTTCCACCTCAGCCTTCCGAGTAGCTGGAATTACAGGCACGTGCTACCACGCCTGGCTGATGTTTTGATTTATCGTAGAGATGAGGTCTTGCCTGCCCAGGCGGGTCTCGAACCCGCGGGCTCAGGCAATCCACTCACCTCAGCCTCCCAAAGGCGCGGGATTACAGGCTGAGCCGCTGAGCCCGGCTCAAGTTTTTCTTATATCTAGCATTTTATTTCTTGTATTGTGTTTGGTCATTAATAATGATGAATCAGTGTGTTGATTTAAAGGGATATACTCACGTTTAAATTGTGGTATTATCCTCAAAATATATGCATCCTTCAGGACTCTGTACAAATCACCTCCTTCAGGAATTCCTAGTTTTCACCGCTTTTCCGTGTTAGAGTATTCTCTTACAGTATTCAGGATTATTTCAAAATGAAATATGTTATCACGTTGAAATAATCTGTTTTTTCATCCTATCCTGTGACACTATAAGCTCTTGAAGAGTGAGACCATGATTATTTGTCTACTCTCAACATCTAGCAGAGTTTACAGATGCTAAGATTGGCAAAATGTGTCATGATTAACTTCCGAAAGTGCCAACGTTTGGGAATCATTTACCTTTTTCATGCGTTCAAGAAGATTTAGCATTTTCTCTATGAGAGCACAGCTCACTTGCTTACTGATAAGATTTCTTCAATGGGAAAGAAAGAGTAGCTTTCCAGCTGGGAATATCAGAATATTGTACCTGTGCCTCTGCTAGTAATCTGTTAGAGTATGTCATAATTGTGAACTCATTTAGTCAGTGAGTAGAAAGGTTTAGACCCACTGATACAGAAGACCTGAGGTATCCTGTTTTGTGTGTAGTTATCATCTTAATGTGAATGATGCTGGTTTGGTTTTTAGGGGGGAGTTTTGAGTTGGAGTCTCTGTCACCCAGGCTGAAGTGCATTGTTACAGTCACAACTCACTCAGCCTCGACTTTCTGGGCTCAGGTGATCCTTCCACCTCAGCCTCCCAAGTAGCTGGGACTACAGGTATACACCAGCATGCCCAGAATTTTTTTTTTTTAATTTTTTGTTGAGATGAGGTCTCACTGTGTTGTCCAGGCTGGTCTCGAAATCTGGGGCTCAAGTGATTGTTCCACCTCAGTCTCCCAAAGTGTTGGGATTACAGGCATGAGCCACTGCGCCCATTCATGGCTGGTTTTAAATATGGGAAACTGATTCTGATTCAACAGTTTGCTACAGGATTTCTCAACCAATTTTTAACACCCTCCGACAAAACCTTTTTTAGACATTTTTTAAACTGCTCTCCCTTGAAATTTTAATGCCACAAATACACTGTATATCTGTTTATGGCCCTGTATGTGCTTTGTACATAAAAGCATAAGATTTTTCAACAAGTTCTTGCCCCCTTGGAGAGCACATGGTTTATTCTGAAGCTCAGTTGACTGAAACTAAAAGTTGTCTTTTCATCAGTATTTTGAAAGCATTAATGTCAAACTGACTTAGTAACAAATAAATTTGCTACTCTCAATACTGATCTTTCTTTTTATTCACATGATAGAGATACTGGTTTATTCTGAACTCTCTCTTTTCCAGGTCCTAGAAGATGTGACCGGTGAAGAATTTGTTCTGTTCATGAAGATACTGTCAGGGTTAAAAAGCTTACAGACAGTGAGTGGAAGACAACAGCTTGTAGAGTTGGTGGCTGAACAGGCTGACCTGGAACAGACCTTCAATCCCTCGGATCCCGACTGTGTGGACAGGCTCTTACAGTGCACTCGGCAGGCAGTACCCCTCTTCTCTGTGAGCGCTTTGTTTTATGTACTTGGTATTTTGATTACTCTGTTAGTGATACATATTTCTATAGATATTCACTTTAACTTTCTCCTTAAGCCTTTCTGTAAAAGTATTAACCCAGTGAAGTGAATACAGGTTGAGTGTTCTTTACCCAGAATTCATGGGACCAAAAGTGTTTCAGATTTCAGATTTTGGAATATTTGCATTGTGTCTGACTGAGCATCCCTAATCCAAAATCTGAAATGCTTTAATAAGTGTTTCCTTTGACTGTCATATTGGTGCTCAAAAAACTTGGATTTTAGAGCATTTCAGATGTTTTATTTTTAAATTAGGGATGCTTCATTTACTCTAGGAAGGCCAGGGTGGGCTTGGTGAGAATTCAGGGTAGCAAGACATTTTTTTAAATCTTGACCAGAGACTTTTTAAAAGTCATGAGAATTTTGCATTCTGTGTCTGGCTTTGTGTTTTCCTTAGCCATGAATCTTGTACGATGTGTAAACCTTAATTTGAAAAACACAGTTTAAAGGAATTACCTATCCTTTTTGAGACATATACAATCTGAAAATCCAAAGGTTGGCTGTGTATGATGGCTCACTCCTATAATCCCAGCACTTTGGGAGGCCAAGGCAGGAGGATTGCTTGACCCCAGTAGTTCAAGATCAACCTAGACAGCAAAGCAAAGCAAAACCTCATTTCTTCAGTAGAAAAATTAGCTGGGCGTAGTGGTACATGCCTGTAGTCCCAGCTACTCAGGAGCCTGAGGCAGGAGGATCACTTGATCAAGTCCAGCAGTGGAGTTTGAGATTGCAGTGAGCTGTGATCTTGCCACTGTGCTCTAGCCTGAGTGACACTGAAACCCCGTCTTTAAAAAAAAGAAAGGAGGAAAATCCCATACTACAATGTCCCCCTAAAATATGACCTGAGAATCAAGGAAAAGTTCAAAGATAATGTAGATATTTCAATGCTCTAGATGACTTGGCAACAAAGTATATAAAGAGTCTTCAAAAAGTTTGTAGAAAATGCATATTATATTTTTCAAATGCATGGATTTCAACATTTTTTTGCACCAAAATGAACTTGTACTAACTTATTACAACATGTCTGAATAGGATCTAGTTTGAGGCATTAAGTATAAGATACCAGTTTGAGAAAAGCCCCTATCAAAGCAACATGAATTCTGCTAAAATTGAAGCAAGGACAAACATCAGTTTTGTGGTTGAGCTTGGGTGTAAGGATGGTAAAGTCAATGATACTTTATGAAAATTGTATGGAGACAATGCCCCAAAGAAATCAGCGTTTATAAATGGTTATCACGTTTTAAGAAAGGACAAGATGACGTTGAAGATGAAGCCCATAATAGCAGACCATCCACATCAGTTTATAAGGAAAAAATTAATTGAAGAGGACCAATGATTAACAACAGAAGCACTAGCCAACACCATAGATACCTCAACTGATTCAGCTTACACATTTCTGACTGAAAATTAGAGTTGAGCAAACTTTCCACTCGATGGTAACCAAAACCATTGGTCCTAGGTAAGCTGCAGACAACAGTTTTTAATGGAAATTAAAAACAAGTGGGATCACGTCATGAAGCATTTACAGAAAATGGAAGGTGGCTTTATCAGCATGGTTGAAGACAGCATAATCCAGGCAGTGGCTACCAAGAGGTGGAAGTGGTACAGTCAAAACAAAAGTGGCCTGGCAAAGAACAACAGTTTTGGGGAATGTTTAAGGCATTTTGCTTGTTGGCTTTCTGGAGGGCTAAAGAACCGTAATGCCTGCTTATTATAGAGTGTTTTGAGAGTTAACCAAAGCTATAGCAAAAAAACATCAGGAAAGCTTCACCAGAGAGCCCTTCTCCACCATGACAATTCTTCTCATTCCTCTCATCAAACAGGCAGTTTTTCAGGAATTTCAATGGGAAATCATTAGGCATCCACCTTACAGTCCTGATTTGGCTCCTTCTGACTTGTCATTCCCTATCTTTTTTTTTTTTGAGTTGGAGTCTCAGTATTTTGCCCAGGCTGGAGTGCAGCGGCATGCTCACAGCCACTGCAGCTTCCACCTGCTGGGCTTAGGTGATCCTTCCACCCCAGCCTTTCCAGTAGCTGGAGCTTCAGATGCACGCCACCACACCTGACTGATTCTTGTGATTGATTGTAGAAATGAGGTTGTTCCCTAATTTAAAGATCTCTTTAGCATTCCCACTTGGCCCATGAGGTAGGATGGTACCTGAAAAACCGTTAGTCATGCCGGCCAGGTGGCGACAGCCTATGGGCCCATCACTGGGCTCCTCAAGGTACGACAAAGCCTATGAGTTTTGAAGGTACATGAATGTCATCATGACAGATATTTTCCAGAAACTTGTCATAGAAAGATGACTGTGAGGAAAACTACTAGGATCACCACTGCATGTAATTAGCATATAGGTAGCTGCAGATGAATGTCCTTCTAGCCATTTTGCTTATAAAGGACTTCGTTGCCTTAGTGGAGCATGCAAGATTTTGGAAGGAAAAATGAAGGCTTGTTCAAGGAAACATGGATAGAAGCAAATGAATGTTTTATTTGATGTTGATAATCCCACAACAAAGTGTTGAAGAATAAAATTAAAATTAAAAGCCTTTAAAAGGCGCCCATGTTTGTTCAGTTAATAATGTGAAAAAGACTACGCTGACATAATTAAATTCCCAGAACCCTCGGTTCTTTAGGGATGACTGTTATCATCATATAAAGTGTCTTGCATTTGATGGAACTTATGTTGGAATAAAGTTTATACTTCTTATTTTCATCTTTTAATTCCATTTTTAAGACCCCTTGTAAATCACCTCTTGAGGTTGTATCTGGAGTGTGCATTATAGTGTATTTGCTGTAGTCATAGTACTCGATGCTGTGGTATTAGCATTTATTGAATGATAGTCTACTATAATGTTTGAGAGAATGTTTCTCTTTTGACCATTCATTCTCTTTGGATTTTTTTTTTACAGAAAAATGTCCATTCTACAAGGTTTGTGACTTATTTCTGTGAGCAGGTTCTCCCTAACCTCAGTACCTTGACTACCCCAGTAGAGGGTCTCGATATACAGTTGGAGGTAAGAGAAAATTGCTGCTCTAGCGCTGCAAAGGCATTCTCACGTTTTAACAAAAATGTAAGCCATTAACTTGGATCTGATTTCTAAGGGAGTAATTTAAATGTCTGGTAACAACTAGCCAGTAGAATCTCCTGGGCCAGGATTACTTGCATAAGGGAGCTTTATGGATTCAATTAATATTTTTTGTAATTGGAAAACACTGCCTATAGTTTTCATTTTTGTCAGTCTTCCCCTTTATAGTCATAATATTTTAAAAATAAATGGTTTGACTCATCCATTTCAATCCATAACTGATAGAGTCAGATTTAAACTAGGTTAGCAGCCGGGCTCGGTGGCTCAACCTGTAATCCCGCGCCTTTGGGAGGCTGAGGTGAGTAGATTGCCTGAGCCCGCGGGTTCGAGACCCGCCTGGGCAGCAAGACCTCATCTCTATAATAAATCAAAACATCAGCCGGGCATGGTAGTGCGTGCCTGTAATTCCGGCTACTCGGAAGGCTGAGGCAGGAGGATTGCCAGAGCCCAGCAGGCGAGGCTGCAGTAGCTGGGAGCAGCCACTGCACTCCAGTCTGGGTGACCGAGTGAGACTTCAACTCAAAAAGTAAAAATAAAAATAAACCGGATTAGCAACACAAAATATCCTTATTCCGTCTCCTCCGGTAGAATTGACTACTCCTATACCTTTGTATAGCAGTTGTAATGTACTTATACATTTTTTCATGGCCTCTGTAATACTTTGCATTTATTTATAAATAATATGCCCCCCATTTAACCTGATTCATTTCTGTGCCCCTAGAATCTAGTGCAGAGCTTATTTCTGAAAAGTGTCTAATAATTATTGAACTGGACTGAAATTTGGAAACACATGAACCATTTCCCTTACAGGTCCTTGGGACAAAGAAGAGTTTTCACTTTGCACAGTGTAGTTTGTTTCAGACGTCCTAGGCCAGGCTCATCAGACTGGGATTGTGTAAAGCAGGGATGAACCTTTAGAATAGTGGTGATTGCCAGTATTTGAGTTCGTATCCAGAGACTAAATTTAATAGCAAATGAGGCCCGCCTTAAATATTAGTAAATAAGTATTTGCTGTTGAGAGTTTTTCCTGAGTGTCTCTTTATAGTACAAACTTAGTTAATATATTTATATGTTGCATTGTAATTAACACTGCTATCATTAGCCTGGAACAGAAAGTGTCATGTTTTCTTCTCCTTACTTCTCACAGATATATTGGAATTCATGAGATCTGGGTTTTAGAGTCTGCCCCGCCACTCACATATGCTGTGATTTGCCAGATCACATAATCTCTGTCCTTTACTTTCCTCAACAGTAAAATGTAGCACTGTATCTCTGTTCAAACATGATTCTGTAACAGTATAATTGAAAATAAATGAAGACCTAGAATTTCTCTCATTTTACCTCTCATTCAGAAAAATAGTAATAACAGTGAATTGTGTGTTGTAGGTATTAAAATTGTTGGCGGAGATGAGTTCATTTTGTGGTGACATGGAGAAACTAGAAACAAATTTAAGGAAACTATTTGATAAGTTATTGGTAAGAACTTTTTCCTTTTTTTACAGCATAATCAGTATATAGCCCCAAAATCTTACTTAAAACTAATTTCTATATTACGAGAACCAGCTTTTGGAGTTTTTATTAAATAATAATTCTAGGCCAAGCACATTAATGGCTCATGCCTGTAATCCCAGTAGTTTGAAAGGCTGACGTTGGAGGATGACTTGAGTCTAGGAGTTTGAGACCAATCTGGGCAGCATAGTGAAACTCCATCGCTACGGAAAAATTTCTTAAATTAGCCAGGTGTAGCATGCCTATAGTCCTAGTAACTTCAGGGGGATTGCTTAAGCCCAGGAGTTTGAAGTTGCAGTAAGCTTTGATCATACCATTTTACTGCATGAAGCCTGGGCAGCAGCAAGACCGTTTCTCAAAAATAAATAAGGTAGGTAGGTAGGTAGGTAAGAAGGTAAGAATAATTCTAGCAAGTTTTGTTAGCTGCTCAGGCCACATGTTGTCTAACTTTTTAAAAAATCTGTTTTGATCTTGGCATTTCTTCTGTTGATGTTTTGCATGAAATATGATACAAGATTTATATAGTAGGTCTTTGTTATTCCTGCGTCAGAATAATTTAATATCTGTAAAAGAAATTAGCTCTAACTCTTCAGATGGTGCTAAATAGTTTCAAAACTGCAGTGAGCATTACGAGAGGTCATTTATTCCAGGTCACTAACTAGGTAGTTGCCAAGTACCTTTAGCAACCAGGAAATAAACTCTTTGTCATACAAGTTATAATTGTGGAGAAAACAGGACATCTGATAAGACCATTGTCAGCATCAGTGAGTGATTTTCTTATTTGATGTGAATAGTTGTTAACGGACATGGTGATAAATATTAGGCCCTTAGCATGCATTGAGTCATCCACCATCTTACCATGCATTGAGTCATCTAACATCTAGTGTTCATCCAGGCTTATCATGCTTCCTGGGTTATTACAGCACAGTTATTTAATGCCATTGTAAGCACTGTGGATGTATTAAGAGTCAATACTTAATATGGACTAATGTTCAGAAAAGATTGTTGTAGTTAGCATAGTGCAGTCCTTAAGAGCATCAGCTTTTCATGTTAAACCTAGATTGAATCCTGACTCTTAGACTTATTAACGTTTTCACTATAGAAAAGTTACCTATGTTCTCAGTGCTTTCATCTACCTAAGTGTCTTTAATTTTCTTAGTATTAGTAGCAGCTGTAGCATAGGTTAATATGGAGTGTTGACAGTCTTAAGCATTGATGCAATAAGTAAAGGACAAATCTTATGTGTCTGTTTTAGGTAGTTTTTAATGCTCCATGCTTTACGAGCATACCTTACAATTCCTTGCGTATGTATTTGTAACTGAATATTTGGAACAGATTGCAGATATCTCTATATTTTCTTCTCCTAGGAATACATGCCTCTCCCTCCAGAGGAAGCAGAAAATGGGGAGAATGCTGGTAATGAAGAACCCAAGCTGCAGTTCAGTTATGTAGAATGTTTGTTGTACAGCTTTCACCAGTTAGGCCGAAAACTTCCAGACTTCTTAACAGCCAAGCTGAATGCAGAAAAGCTCAAGGATTTCAAAATAAGGTAATATATATGACTGAATCAGTTTAATCCTTGGCAAAGGTAATGGCTGTCTTGAAGCTCCCTGGATTTTGTTTTTGTTTTACAAGAGCATTCTCTCCATCCTGACCTAGCCCAGTGGAATAGAATGGAGAATCGAGAAAACAGACTTGTTTGCAAACATGTGACAGAAATATCTTTAAAAACTGAAGGGGGACAGGGTGCAGTGACTCACAGCTGTAATCCCAGTACTTTGGAAGGTCAAGGTGGTAGGATTGCTTGAGCCCAGGAGTTTGAGACCAGTCTGAGCAACATAGCAAGACCCCGTCTCTACTTAAAAATTAGCCAGGCGTGGTGACATGTGCCTGTAGTCCCATCCATTCAGGAGGCTGAGGCAGGAGAATCCCTTGAGCCCAGGAGTTTGAGCTTGCAGTGAGCCTTGATCGTGCCACTGCACTGCAGCCTGGGTGACAGTGAGACCATGAGTCCCCTCCTCTCCCCCCCAAAAAAGAAGAGGAAAAGTGAACTTAAAAAAATTTGACTCTGGCTCTTACCATTTGCTTTATGATCTTGGGCAGGATCCCTAACCTCTCCTAATTCCCCAAATTTTTTTCAGCTGTTCAATGACAATAGTACCTACAGATACCTACGTGAATACAAATACCTCATAGAGTTGTGGAAATCCAGTGAGACAAGGAAAGCTTTTAGCACAATGCCTGGCAAATAGTCGATACTCAAAAAACTGTAGCTGATATTGTTAGCAATATCTTGCAGTATTGTTACTGGAGGAGCAGTACTGGAAAAATTAGTATAAGTCATGAAGACATTTTGCATTGACAGGTTCACATCTTAAATTTTGAAATACATGAGCCCCTGTGTTATCTGTTACTGTCTTCTACTGTGTGATAAAGCAGAGGTTTAATCCTTGATGATGCGCTTGATCAGAAACAACTTAAGAAATTATTCTTTAATTTTTTTTTTTGGTACTGTAGCTATTTCTGAACTTAGAATCATTTTTGCTATAGTAGAGATTTGAGTTTAAAGACAAAAGTGATGAATTGCTAATTAACAAATACTTCTTCTTTTAGGCTGCAATATTTTGCCCGGGGCCTGCAAGTTTATATTAGACAACTTCGCTTGGCTCTCCAGGGTAAAACAGGCGAGGCCTTAAAAACAGAAGAGGTAAGAATATTGGCTCATAGCTCATAAACTGCTGGTTCCATATCAAACTGTAAAGATTTGGTGTGGATTTTTGGTTTTCCCTTATCTCACCTAGTCTCCATTCCAGTCCACATGAAATATTTTAGATGTTCATTATGTCTTGTAACTTAAAGCAACTCCCATATGCATATGACGTATCCTTTACTCATTTTTAGGTAAGTTGTAAATCACACCTTAATGTTCTAACCTGTTAATGGAACATAATATTTTTTACTTTCTTTGCCGTCTCTAGATTTGTTTGCAGTCAAGAAATAGAAATAAGCATTATCTATAGATTTAAGCCAAGGAATTGTTTAACTATAGAAGTGACTCTGAAAGAGAGTATAATTACTGTAGTTCTATGTCAGAATGGAGAATGCATCATAGAAGTTATTGGCTTTTTAAATTAATTTTGTTTTCCCCTTACAGAACAAGATTAAAGTTGTTGCATTGAAAATAACAAACAATATCAATGTTTTAATCAAGGTAAGCCTTCCTTTCTTACCTAACTCTCCCAGCTATCTAGAAAGTCAGTACAGGCAAGGTACAGTGGCTTAAGCCAGTAATCCTAGCACTTTGGGAGGCTGAGGTGAAGGAATTGCCTGAGCCCACAGGTTCAAGGATAGCCTGGGCAACTTGGCGAGACTTCATCTCTATAATAAATAAAAAAATTAGCCGGGCATGGTAGCACGCACCTGTAGTTATGGCTACTTGGAAGGCTGAGGTAGAAGGATCATCTGAGCCCAACAGGTTGATGCTGGGGTGGCCATGAGCGTGACACTGCACTCCAATCTGGGCAACAGAGTGAGACTCCATCTCAAAAAAAAAAAGTCAGTTCAAGAAGTTATTCATGTTTTTAGATCTATAATGACACAGTTAAGGGTAGATGCCATTTCATTCCCATCATTTGGCCTTTGGAAACTTTATACTTTTTATTACCAAGTGACATTTCTGTAGCTATCCTAAAATTACCTTGCTTTCTGTATTTAAAAGTCTTGCAGAAGTTGCTGGGCACAGTGGCTCACACCTTTAATCCCAATACTTTGGGAAGCAGAGATGAGAGGTTTGCCTGAGTCCAGGGCTTCGAGACTGGCCTGGGCAACTTGGCGAGACCTCATCTCTGCAATAAACCAAAAAATTAGCCAGGTGTGGTGGCATGCACCTGTAGTTCCAGCTACTTGGGAGGCTGAGGCAGAAAGATGCTCTGAGCCCAGCAGGTGGGGTCCATGAGCATGCCACTGAACACCAGCCTGGGCAACAGAGAGACTCTGACCTAAAAATAGATAAATAAACAAACAAAGTTTTATAGAAGCTGCCGCAAACAAAAGGAGTTATCCAAATTTGCTCTGGTCCAAAGCATTGAATCAGATATAGACTCAAAGATTTCAGAGATTTAAATTCTGGTTATCTTATTGCTGTTCAGTTCTTTCGATTGGTCAGTGAAACCCTGCTTTGCTTTCTCTGAGTGGACATGTGCTGTGAAACACTATGAATTGTTTTCCTGTGGTCTTTTCTATCAACTTGTCTGTGTAATAAATTGAGACCCTTCTGTACTATAGGCTAGGGTATACCACCTTACCGTTAAGCCATAATTACTCATCAGTTCTGTTTACTCTTCCCAACTATCTACTAGCCTAAACAAAAAACTAATAACCTGAGAGAACCAAAAATGAATCACAAAGTAGCCATCAGTTGTTACTACAACTTAACTGTATTGTGGCCAGATGGAAAAAATAAATATTTTAACACCTAAAGCACATAGCCTGACAGTAGCAAAATTTGAACTAGTATGCCTTAAAGCTAGTCTAGTAAAAATCCTGTGGGATAATTACAATTGACCCTGAACAAAGCAAGGATTAGGGGTGCCAACCCCTTGTATAACTTTTGACTCCCCAAAAACTTTACTAATGGTCTGTGTTGACCAGAAACCTTTCTGGTAGCATAAACAGTAGATTAACACATATTACATATTTTGTGTGTTATATGTACTATATACTGTATGTATTGTATTCTTACAATAAAGCAAGCTAGAGAAAACTATCTTAATATTATAAGGAAGAGAAGGGCTGGGCACGGTGGCTCAAGCCTGTAATCCCAGCACTTTGGGAGGCCGAGGTGAAAGGATTGCCTGAGTCCAGGGGTTCGAGACCAGCCTGGGCAACTTGGCGAGCCTTCGTCTCTACAATAAATAAATAAATAAATAAATTAGCCAGGCGTGGTGGCTCGCTTCCAGCTACTTGGAAGACTGAGGCGGAAGGATCACCTGAGTCCAGCAAGTCAAGGCTTTGGTGACTGTGAGCGTGCCAGTGCACTCCAGCCTGGGCAACAGAGTGAGACTCCGACTCACAAAAAGAAAAAATAAATAAGGAAGAGAAAATATATTTAGTGGAAGTGGATCATTATAAAGGTCTTCTTCCTTGTCATCTTGACATTGTCTCTGGTGACAGAAGCAGAAGAGATGGAAGGAGAGGCAGGCACACTAGGTGTAACTTACATTGAAAATAACCTACATATAAGTGAGTCTACCCAGTTCAAAAGAATGTTGTTCAAGGATCAACTCTACTTTGTATCAGAACAGAGAGGGAAGTTTTTCAGATAAAGTAAGCAGTGAGTTAGACATTGAGGAACGAGTATCAAATTGCCAACTACAAAAGCGAAAAGGCATTAAACATAGGAGAGGTAAGAATACTAACATCTCAGAAAAGTTTTTCAGTAACCACCGTTTATTACAAATTTTAAATATAAAAATTTTGGACAGTAAGTCCATATATTAAAATGCAAGATTTGACTTTATTTGAACTGGCGATACATGTCTATGTTGAATATATAATATGATGTTAAGAACATTTTAAACTTAATAGCAAATACTGTGACCTACGTGTAGATGAGAAAATGATCTTTTCAGGAAACTATGTGATCTGAAGATGACTACAGTAGAAAAGTGTATGGGAAAGAGATGAACAGGGTCAGCAACCTGAATGTAGAGTGATCTGGGAATATAGGAGCAAAAAAACTCAGTTTCTCCTACTATATTCAACACATTTCTAAGACCAGATTTGTGTAGGTTGTCCCCCCCACATCAAGTAAGCAAACCGTTCTGCAGTGGACACTAGCTGGGTGTCCTCCATTTCAGTTCCAACACTGTCACCTGGAAATAGCATCAGATCCCATAGGTTGAGGGCTCAGTTTCACAAGACCACTCCGCCAGTTGCAAGGCCCTGGTTGTTTCACCTGTTTGCTTCTGACAGACTGACTGTAAATCAGGGCTCCCATGACTCCTTCTTTAGGTTTGATGAACTTGCTAGAGTGGCTCACAGAGCTCAGGGAGACACCTAGGTTTATTATAAAGAATATGTTGAAGGATACATAACATTCAGATAGAGATACATGGGACGAAGTTGTGAGGGGTCCCCAGCACAGGAGTTTCTATCCCCATGGAGTGGGGGCACACCACCCTCCCAGCGTGTGAATGTTCTTGTTCACCTTCCTGGAAACATTCCCCTCCCCCCATAAGTCCTTTTGAGTTTTTATGGAGGCCTCACTATGTGGATACAATTGATTAAATAATTGACCTTCAGCCCTTCTCCCTTCCCTGGAGATGGGGGGTGGGGCTTAGTTCCTACCCTCAGAACACATGGTGGGGCTAACAGGTGCTTGTTATAAATAACAAAAGACTCTTTCACTGTATTACTCTGAAGCTGTTTCTGGGAACCAAGGACAACAGACAAAATATTTTAGCAAAAGATAACCTCTACTTGCTCTAGTCACATAGGAAATTTCAAGAGTTACAGGAGTTATGAGCCAGGAGCCATGGACAAAACCCAAAATGCGATCAATACAGTACTCCATCTATATTTAAGGGGGATTTGTTCCGGACCCTCATATCCTTGTATATTCAAGTCCCTCTTTAGACAGCATAGTAGTTGCATATAACCTATACATATCCTCCCTTATACTTTAAAGCATCTACAGATTATTTATAATATCTATCAACCTAAAATAATACAACCTCAGGATCTAATTAGAAGAGTTTTCTCAAACACAAAGTGTGAGGGTAGCCATCTGCGAGCAGAATTATACCAAAGAATGGTGATCAGTGCTCTCAGTGTTGGGAAAGTGAGCATTGTTTATACAGGCAAAAATGGAGGCACTGAGCGGAATACATTTTTTCATACAGAGGCTAACATGAATACATGATTTAATTGGCTACTACTGATTACACTCTTAGGGGCTTGCTTAACATTCTGTTGTAAAGAGGTAACAAGGGTCTCTCTTCTGTGTCATTTAGTTTAGGTTTGAATAAAGAATAGGGAGAGGCCGAGCACAGTGACTGATGCTTGTAATTACTGCACTTTGGGAGGCCGTGGCGGAAGGATTACTTGAGCCCAGGAGTCAAGACCAGCCTAGGCCACATAGTGAGACCCCGTCTCTGAAAATCAAAAACTTAGCTGGGCCTGTTGATGCTTACCTGTAGTCCCAGCTACTCTGGAGGCTGAGGCAGAAGGATTGCCTGAGCCCAGGAAGTCAAGACTGTGGTGAGCCATGATTGCGACATTGCACTCCAGCCTGGGTGACACAGTGAGACCCCGACTCAAAAAAATAATAGGGAGGCTAGTTATGACACCTTAACACCTTTGTGCTGAGGAAGCAATGGGTATACACCAGAGAAGAAAAACAGCAGTGTTATGTTAGTTTCTAGGGCTTAAATTTTGCCCCTAGCCTCATAAATCTGATGTCCTGAAATTTATTTCCTTTTTTACATACCTAATACAATGCTTACATATCATTTCATTCTTGAAGTGAAGTTTTGCTTATTGGAATATTTTCCATCCACAATTGGTTGAATCCACAGATGCAGATGTCATGGATACGAGGGCCAACCGTATATGTATATCATAAGATCACAGTAGCCATGCCAGAAAATTCTGAAATATTTTTAAAATTGGATATGAGTGTGTGACATGATCAGTTTTTTGTTTTAGGGAGATCATAGGAAAACTGCTGTGCTTTGTTCTGTCCTTGGAATTTTTCAGTCTTTACCTACCTAGGCAGACTCATCTAATTTCACAACTTATCTTCACGCCTATCTTAGTGAATCCCCAATGTCCCAGTTTTCTGTTTAAAATTGAAGCCTTACTCTTTCCTCTTCATGTAGTCCCTCTTTCAGTTAATATTGTCCTATACTAAATCACTCCTAGAAATCTCAAAACATGTTACGTTGACCAATTCCCTGCAGTTATCTGGTATGTTGGATGTAAATATTATATAAGCAGGAGGTTATTTTTATTAGTATACTCATTTTAACTGGAGGAAAAGTTTTATTTTTATTGGATTTTATCTATATATAAAATCAGGGTAAAGCTGGTAAGAAATGTTTGTTGTGTTTAGTAATTCATTTAGAGTTTTGAGGACATTATAAAATTAGATTATTTCAAGTCTAGATTATTTTAACATGTGTGTTCAACCAACAAGCCAGTGCAATGATACACGCCTGTAATCCCAGCACTTTGGGAGGTGGAGGCTAGAGGATTGCCTGAGCCCAGGGGTTCAAGACCAGCCTAAGCAAATAGGCTAGACCTTGTCTCTACAGTAAAGCAAAACAATTAGCTGGGCATTGGCAGCACATACCTGTAGTCCCAGCTATGTGGAAGGCTAAGCCCAGCAGGTCCAGGCTGTGGCGGCCATGAGCATGCCACTGCACTCCAGCCTGGGCGACGGAGTGAGTCTCCTACTCAAAAATAAATTCTGGGTTTTTTCCTTTATTGGCAATTTATAGACATTTGAGGAATGGAAACACGACTGGCCAGAGCTTTAATTTTGTTTTAATTTTGAGCCACTTAAAAATTTGCAAAACCAGCGGGCTCGGTGGACCAGCCTGTCATCCCGTGCTTTGGGAGGCCGAGGCGAGTGGATGGCCAGAGCCCGCGGGTTCGAGGCCCGCCCGGGCAACTTGGCCAGACCTCATCTCTACAATAAGTCAAAAAAATTAGCCGGGCGTGGTAGCGCGCGCCTGTAGTTCCAGCTCCTCAGAAGGCTGAGGCGGAAGGATCGCCGGAGCCCAGCAGGTCGAGGCTGCAGTGGCCGGGAGCGGCCACTGCTCTCCAGTCTGGGCGACAGAGGGAGACTCCAACTCAAAAAAAAAAAAAATTTGCAAAACCAAATGCAGGTCAGGTGCAGTGGCTCACACCTATAATCCCAGCACTTTGGTCGCCGCTTGAGCCTAGAAGTTCAAGACTTAGGCAACACAGTGAGACTCTTCTCTATTACAAAAAGTAAATGCAGATCGCACCATTTTATTTTTCCTAAATCGCCACAGTGGCTGCATCTGTGCAAAAGAAAATACCTGTTGACTTTAATAAAGTTGATGAATAATAACATTTTATCCTGAAACTTAGGATGACATTTAGAAAAAAATTAGCTACAGGTTAAGTCATGTACACAAAATTATGTTAATGAGATAATAGGTGAGATTTATAAACAAAATTGTCCCTGTTTTTATTTCTGTTATAGTTTAATGTAGGTCCTTATTTTAGTCACCAGCAAAAGAGCAAGGATAAATTAAAGCTGTCTCCTAAAATTAATCTCTAAGATGTATCTTCCCGTTTCCCACCCTCACCACCACTCCCTGCCACTAACAAACCCATTTGAAATCTTGTATGATTCTCTCTCTCCAGGATCTCTTCCATATCCCTCCTTCTTATAAGAGCACAGTAACACTGTCCTGGAAGCCTGTACAGAAGGTTGAAATGGGGTAAGAAATATATTTAAAGGGGATTTGAATGTTATCAAAGCTGAATTCAGTTGTTACATTTACTGTTCAAAAGGGTATGATATTAGTTAAATGATTCCCAATAACATGTTTAAATATGACTATTAGAAGTATGACTTAACATATAAAATCTAATTCTGGTATCTGTAAAATAAACTGGTGGGCTGCAACCCTGGAACTTTTAGGCTTTTTGTATTCTTGTAACATAACTAGAGTTTTCTGGCAGATTTTGTATAATGAGTCACTTGCATATAAGTCTCGGAAGCTACATATTTCAGATTATTTTAAGGCCTTCTAAATACTCTGACAGTGTCCACATAAACTGTGGTTAATTTGATGATATCAAATGTTTCTTTTTTTCTGATTAGACTATCTTTTTTTATTTTTTTATTCTTGCCCCAAGTATTTTGATAACTGTCGTCTTTAGGATATCCTTCGTAACTGTTATATTATAACATAATGTTATATATTATAACATAACATAACTAGTAAATTCTATATGTATTGAAAGCTTTCGATATACCAGAATGTTTTATAATTGCTGTCCTTCCTACTGCTGTAGGCAAAAGAGAGCCAATGAAGACACAACTTCAGGTTCACCACCCAAGAAATCTCCATCAGGACCAAAAAGGGATGCCAGGCAGATTTATAATCCTCCCAGTGGAAAATATAGCAGCAATTTGAGCAACTTTAGTTATGGTGAGCGTTTCCGTTCGGGTAGAAGCAGTATGAGCGATTAGTTGGAAATTGTACTTGATTTTAATTACTAATTACATGCAGTGTCATAGCTCTGTCGGATGAGTTTTCTGAGGTAGCTCGAGGAACTAAGACGCATGGAGAAACGATTTATCCTACTCTTGCTCATTCTTGTAGGCTTACTGAATTGAACTTGCAACACTAAGTACTTAAAAATGGAAAATAGGCCTTTTGAACACAGAGGAACCAACAGAAACAAAAGAAGGGAGGTTGACATGAACAATCCAGTATGTCTTTTTCCAGTTATATCTTCAAGTCGAAACATTCTGTGCATTATCCCTCAGGGATGGCTATAGCTTCTGGAGGATATTGGTATTAATTATCTTTCTTGGCCGGACTCGGTGGCTAAACCTGTAATGCCAGCACTTTGGGAGGCCGAGGCAAGTGGATTGCCTGAGCCTGCAGGTTCAAGACCAGCCCCAGCAACTTGATGAGACCTCCTCTCTACAATAAATCAAAAATTAACCGGGCATGGTAGTATGCGCCTGTAGTTCCAGCTACTTGGAAGGCTGAGGCAGAAGGATCGCTGGAGCCCAGCAGTTTGGCCGTGAGCATGTCACAGCATTCCAGCCTGGGCGACAGAGGGAGACTCCAACTAAAAAGAAAATTATCTTTCTTGGACCTTGTCAGCCTGTTGCTTTTTGTTCCTCCTCACCACCCCCGGTTCCCACCCCATCTTCTGTTGCTAGTTCAAAAGGAGAAGTTATACAAGTGGAGTCAGAATTGAAGTATCATCTGGCAAGGAAGATGTGTCCCTCTGAAGTCTCTTCCTCTGCCCAGAGTGCAGTCGTCCTCAGCTGTAACTGTTAGAGCCAAGAGAGCTTCATACCTGGGAGTCCATCCTCTCCCAGAGATATTGAATCAGAAGTGAAGTTTATCTCTCATTGGCTTATTTCCTTATGACTCCTTTTTAAACAGAATGGACAGAAATATCAGCAACAATAGTAAATGTGCTTCTCTTCACCTTTTATTTGAAAAATGAAGATAGCACAGAGGTCTTACAGACTTCGAATAAAAATATTAAAGCAAGCCAGGCTCGGTGGCTCAGCCTGTAATCCCGTGCCTTTGGGAGGCTGGGATGAGTGGATTGCCTGAGCCCGCAGGTTCGAGACCCGCCTGGGCAGCGAGACCTCATCTCTATAATAAATCAAAAAATCAGCCGGGCATGGTAGTGCGCGCCTGTAATTCCGGCTACTTGGAAGGCTGAGGCGGAAGGATCGCCGGAGCCCAGCAGGTTGAGGCTGCGGTGGCCAGAGCGGCCACTGCACTCCAGTCTGGGTGACAGAGTAAGACTCCAACTCAAAAAAAAAAAATGTTAAAACATTTTGTAATTGGAGAGGATTCTTTGTTACTTGGTTGCACCACATAATGTCCACTGTCACTTGTAAGATTTAATGTGGTATCTAACAGTACCATTCCTGAAATCAACAGTTATTATTGCAGATACTGGAAGAATGTAGCTTAAATGAAAGTAATCAAGAGCTATGGCAGTACATAAGAGAATTGTGTTCCTTTTTACTTGGGCAAGTTAGTTACTCAGTTTGCACAAGAATTCTGTCCTGCGAAACTCATTCCTGAGAATCAGTGGACATAATTACTGTGGGCTAAAAAATGTGAAAAGTGCGAAACTTTAGGTTCAATGTGATTTTTTTTTTTAATTGTCAATGTGAAAAAAATAAACAGGCCAGGTACAGTGGTTCACGTTTGTAATCCCAGCACTTTGGGAGGCCGAGGCAAGAGGATTGCCTGGGCCCAGAGGTTCAAGACCAGCCTGGGCAACTTGACAAGACCTCATCTCTACAATAAAATTTAAAAATTAGCCAGGCATGGTGACATGCATCTGTGGTTTTAGCTACTTGGAAGGCTGAGGCGGAAGGATCACCTGAGTCCAGCAGCTCAAGGCGGTGGTGGCCATGACCATGCCACTGCACTCCAGTCTTGGAAACAGAGTGAGACTCTGATTCACAAAAAAAGGGAAAAAAATAAGCAACGTTTTGCACAAGACAGAAATTCAGGAGTCACAACTTCCAATGTTCCTGATCTTCAAAGTAAGACAGACAAAGCAAACTAAACTCTGAATTTATGCTAGTATTTTACACTTGAGAGCTTAATGAGATGAGGCTATAAATACTCTCACAATAAAATTTGAAGAGTTTTCTTGAACTTTATTTTACTCATTCAGTTGAAAACAGTTATCAGATTCCCAGTTTATCTCATATTACAGTGTTTCGGTTTTTGCCTTATAAACTCGGTATTAATGTTAACAAATTAATTCACCTTCCTGGTGCATTTTAAATCTTACTGTCTGTAAACATTTACCCATGTTTAGTTTTCGTTCCTGCGTACAAAGCTTCCTGGAAACCTAGAAGTACTAAACTTTCTATATTTTTTAAGTTGCTAATGTAAGCTTGAAGCCATTGAAAAGATCATGAAAACGCAGAATGTCCTTTAGGATGAAGCTCTTCAAAAAGAAGAAAATTTAGTGAGTCCCTTGTACTGTAGAAATGGCTGCAATAGTTGGAGATGAAGAATAAGAAATAGCCAGTATAGAAAAGATAATTACATGAAGTAATACCTTCATACGGGATATTTAATAAGTACTTTAGATGTAGCTGAATAATTGAAGATAACCCTCAATTATATAAAATAGAAAAAATTGAAGAAGTGGATTTTCATAGTCTCTTAGCTTATATCTAATAATGATATCTCTTTTTAAATTTTTTAATTTTAGAGATGTGGGGCACAATTCAGGATTAGGTATACAAGTGTTCATCATACAGATAAAGTCTGAGCCTCCTTTTGTTCCCCACTTTGCCTGGTTTGAGTTCAAGTACTCTTATTGATGTTGTGTCCCCTCCACCCTGACATGATGCCACTACTGCCGATCCCTTTTTGTAGTAAGGTAAATGTTCAGGCTCCGCTTATGAGTGAGAACATGTAGTACTCAGCTCTTTGTTTCTGAGTATGATAATAATATTTATAAAGGTATTAATTTGTTAAGTGTCTGGATGTCAATAATGAATATGGTAGAGGGAAAATGTGCAGACATTTGCATAGATGGCTCCAAGTTTGAGCAGTCAAAGATACAGGAGTCACAATCAATACATATAAAGGCTACTGCACTCCCTTAACACATCCATAATTACTGCATCTGTCACTGGGGGCATCTTACCCTGAGACCACCTCTGATTTTCTGAATGTGCTCACTGAGGCAAGAAATATGACGTTTTCCTTTTAAGTTGAGGTCTCACTCTGTCCCCTAGGCTGGAGTGCAGTGGCATGCTTATTACAACCTTAAACTTCTGTGCCCAAGCAATCCTTTCACCTCACCTCCCAAGTAGATGGGACTACAGGTGCATGCCACCACACTTGATTTTGTGTGTGTGTGTGTGGAGACCAGGTTTCGCTCTGTTGCCTAGGCTGGTCTCGAACTCCTGGGTTCAGCCAGTCCTCCTTCATCAGTCTCCCTAAGTGCCGGCTGGCTGAGAAGTCTGGCGACCTTAGCCAGCCAGATAATTTCATTTAGAATGGTTTGCATACCAATCAACTTATTAAAATGTGTCATAGCTTAAGAGGTTACTTTGAATCAGATGCCATTTTATTACACAGATAAATCTGATAAACTGAGGAAAGATCTACTTAGTTTTTTATGTGTGACACAAGTGACTTAGTTTTGCAGCAAAGGATATGCTTAATTTACATCAGTAATCAAGACATTCTGTGTATGTGTGTATATGTATGCACACACACACACATACAAACAATGGAAATATAACCCATGCTCATGGATTGGAGGAATTAATATTGATAAAATGACCATACTACTCAGAGCAGCCTACAGATCGAGTGTATTGTCTATCAAAATACCAATAACAATCTTAACCCAAATAGAAAATTCTAAAATTTGCGTGGAACCACAAAAGACCCCAAATAGCCAAAACAGTCCTGAGCAAAAAGAACAAAGCTGGAGATACCACACTGCCAGACCTTAAAATATACTATAAATGTATAGTAACCAAAACAACATGGTACTAGCATAAAAACACACAGATAGACCAATGGAACAGAACAGGAGAACCCAGAAATTAATGCATGTATCTATAGCCAACTAATTTTTGACAGAGGTACCAAGAACACTCACTGGAGAAAGGACAATCTCTTCAATAAATTGTTCTGAGAAAACTGGACATCCATATGCATAAGAGTGAAACTAGACCCCCACCTCTCACCTTATACAAAATTCAACTCAAAATGGATCAAAGTCCTAATGTAAGACTCAACAATAAAACTATAAGAAAACATAGAGGAAACAGAGAAGAAACTGGAGAGGTCATTTTATAGTGAAATAAGCCAGAAACAAAGTTAGACCCCACGTGTTCTCACTCATATGTAGAAGCCAAAAACAGTTGATCTCATAGAAGTAGAAAATAGGACAGAGGATACTGGAGGATGGGAAGGGAGAGGGAGAGATTTGTCAAAGGATGCAGAATTACAGCTAGATAGGAGGAATAAGTTCTAGTGTCCTGTACCACTGTAGGACAAGTATAGTTAATAATGTAGTTTTAAATAGCTAGGAGGAGGCTATCGAAGGTTCCCAACACACAGAATTGCTAAATGTTTGAAAAGATGGATATCTTATTACCCTGATCTGAGCATTACAGTATTTGTATCACAACGAAACTATGTACTACATGAATACATACAGTTACTTGTCAATTTAAACAATTAAATTTTTTTAATGTAATTATAGCATCACCTTGAAACAACTTCATTAATGGGATACATTTAATTGAGCAGCTACTATGAATGTATTTGGCACCCTGCTATATGTGGTTCAGTATATGTTGCCTTGGTTTTGTGTACAGAATGAATTTGTAATTGGACTAGCAGAATATTAGTTCTGCTCTTCTAGGGCCTACTGCTATATTCAGAGCTATGAGCTACGTTTCTTCTGTGTTTGCTGTACCGTGAAGTCCTGAGCAAGACCTAAACCCTTTTTCGCTTTTTCGTAGAGCAGAGAGGAGCCTTCAGGGGAAGTAGAGGTGGCCGAGGTTGGGGTGCACGAGGAAATCGTAGTCGGGGAAGACTCTACTGAATAAGACATCACATTCTTCAACATTGTCGTGAGCTTAATATACTTAAATTCTACTACTCATTGGATTGCCGGGGATGTCCCTTTAAACGGACTGCTGCCTTCAGCTAAAAACTTAATGTTCTTTATACCTTTGTATGTATGATCTACTTTTGTAACAGACCATGGTTGTGTCCAAGGTAAAACCACAGCGATATTTTTGGATGCTTTATCTGCAGTCTTTACTTGTTTTTGCAATGTCATCATTATTCAGAATTCATCTTGTGAATCTGTTTCTTTTAAGCATCTTGTTAATTTGTTATCGAGAGCTCTCCAAGTCTAAAATGTAGTGAAATTCAGTCTCGTTCTGCTAACTGATAAAGATCATCAGTTTAGAAAGGTTACTGATTTTCCTCTCCCTTCTTAGTTTTTTGCCCAATATATGGAGAAGAGTAACAGTCAATCTTAACGTTTTGTTTGTGTTGTTTTTTAATAAAACTGCTAGACAATGGTGCAGCATTCCTACCTAGTGTCATAAAAGCAAAATACTTACCAGCTTTCTTTAAATGCAGGAATTGGACATCACAGTTTTAGGAGGAAGTAAGTGGCTTTGCATTGCTTACTTAACTCTTCCATATATTGTGATACAAACTTTTGAATATGGGAACTTATTATTTGAATAGAAATGTGTATGTATAATATACATACATACATAAGCATATACGTGTGTGTGTATATATATGCATGCTGTGAAACTTGACTGCACAACATAGATCATTTTTTAAAATTCCACGAACGATAGTCTTTGACACATGATTATCCTTTTGAGGCTGAATCCGTTATTGGCTTGTCATCTAGGTTTTCACTCCCAGTAGTGGGAGATTTTGAGTCAGTTGCACTTACATGATTATTGTTATTTAAAACTAAAAATAAACAAAGGCTGCATTTTCAGAGATAAATTTGGAGATTGCTATTGGTGAAATACAGCCAGTATATTGAGTCTGATGTACATATATCTTTCTATAGGGTGAGATAGTACAATTTAGAATTTGGAGATGTAATAACCAGGGCTACCCAGAAAAAGTGACTTGATAACATGCTACCAATAAGTAAGGGATGCTCTCTCGGTTTGCTTTTGCCACTTTCAAGATTTTAACTTCTCAGGTTATTAATCAGAATTATTGTATAAGTTAGCCAATAGAATCTTTAGGTTAAAACAACAGATGGGGGGTTTGTGGAGTGTTTAATGTCATGGGCATTTTTAGTAGCATAGACCCTTTGCTCTGTATTTGAATGTTTCATGTATTTTTGTTTCACAGTTAATCTCCCCTCCCCAGGTTTGCTATTCAAATCAAATGCCTGATGACATCTTTAGTAGTTTGATGTATTTTTTGAAGGATAGTTTGTGATTTCAATGCAGGTGTCTTCATTACTGTTACCTCTACACTGGGAAAATAGCAAAACTCCCGTGTTAGAATTACTGCACATGTTTATGGGGAAAGTATTTCTAAAAGGCTAGAGTGATACACATCAGCAAAGTAAGTTGGTCACCTTGACTACAGAGTGGTGGCAATAATTTCTAAACATTCCAAAAGACTGTAAGCTGAACATAAACTCCCTTGGAATCTAAACAGACATAGGAACTTGGAATTGCCATTTCGAATCTGTAACCAGCTAGTCTGGACCTCAGATAGATCAGCCAGTGCCCTAAAGCCATTTCAAATGCAGAAACTGTCTTGGAACATATTTGAACATGAAGTGTAATTTTTCCACTTTTTATTTTTGTCAACATATTTGTCAACTCAGAGTTGAACAGAAGTGACTTTCCTTTCTTCAGTTTGATACTGAGTTGACTTCTCTTTCCTCACCACCTCACTCTTCCCTTTCCCTTTCCTAAGGCAACAGTGCACAACTTAGGTTTCTTTTGCTTCCAGAATTTGAATGAAAGACTTCATGCCATGGATTTTTTTCTGTTGCAGGACACCTGTTTATCACCTTGTTTAAATGTAAATGTTCCCTTATGCTTTTGAAATAAATTTCCTTTTGTAATTTTGTTTTGTGTCTTAATGTGCTATAATTATGATGACTTTGGGTTCTTGAATATTCACTCACATTTATTGATTGCTTCTCATGTGCCAAGCAATGTGTTAGACTGTGAAAATACAAAGACAGACAAGACCCTACTCTGCCTTCAGGAATTCAGTCTTGATACAGTCTTACAAATTATCATTATCTTTTTTTTTTTTTTTTTTTTTTTTGAGTCAGAGTCTCACTTTGTCCCTAGGCTGGAGTGCAGTAGCATGCTCACAGCTACCACAGCCTCAACCTGCTGGCTTTGGGTGATCCTACCACCTCTGCCTTCCAAGTAGCTGGAACCACAGGTGCACATCACCATGGCCAGCTAATTTTCTGATTTACTGTAGAGACGAGATCTCACAAGTTGTCCAGGCTGGTTTCGAGCCCCAGGGCTCAGGCAGTCCTCTTGCCTCCACCTACCAAAGTACTGGGATTACAGGCATGAGTCATCAGATCTGGTTCAAACTATCTGTAATTGTCATACTTTACAGTTCTGATTTGGATTCATTTTTAGAAGCAAATACGGTTTTCTGAAAAAAGGGTTTGGTTCTTTTTCTCAAAGGAGAACACCACATACTTCACCATCATGAAATCATTTCCATCCTCTGGTAATAGGCAAAGCAAGTCAAAAGTCATTAATGTAACTACTACCAGTCTTTATTGAAGTCTTCCTGAAGCAGCACTAAGGATGGTCAGGAATGTTTGAAAGCCAAGGTTTAAGGGGATCAGGATGAGATAACTACATTCCCTTGTGATCACATCTAGTCCTGTGGCTTTAAATGCCATCTACGTTCTGAGGACTGTCAAGTTTGTATCTCTTATTTTCTTACATGGAGTTTCACAATAGCCTAATTGATCTCTGTGCATTTGCACTTAAACCATTTACAATTTAGCTGGGCTCAGTGGCTCAGCCTGTAATCCTGTGCCTTTGGGAGGCTGAGGTGAGTGGATTGCCTGAGCCTGCAGGTTC